CCCCCCCCCATCGCCCCACCAGAGCCCTGCACCACCTCCTGGGCCCACAGAGCCAGGCCCACTCATCTCTACCAGGTAAAGGTCCCAGGTCAGGCCCAGGTGGAAGGAGGCCACACCCCCAGCCCAGTGTGATCAAGTCAACAGCCAAGCCAAAGCTGTGAGCAGCCAAGAAGCAGAGCAATCAAAGCTCTGGGCCGGCTAACTGTTCTGAGCCAAGGCAGGGGCAGGAGAAGACAGGGGAGAAAGAACAAAGGCGGCATGATCTGGAAGAGACCACAACCAGGACAAGCACTCCAGGAACCTGGCAGGGGCCCAGAGGGGACAAGCCCATGGGAAGTGGGATGTGTAGCCCCTTGTATTCTGAGGAAAAACAGCTTGGAATACAAGGGGCCACACACACCAACAGTGAGTCTCGAAGGATCACAGCTGGTGGCCTCCAAACTCTCCACTTGGCAGAACCTCAATCTGCTCAACATCCTTGAATGGCTTCTGATGCTCTTAAGATGAAGACCAACACTCTCTTGCTTCCACATGCTCCTCACCTCTGGAGCACCAAGAGCTTCAGCCACACCAGGCTCTCTCAGTGCCCTACACGCCCTGGACTCCATCTCACCACAGGGCTCCTGTTACAGCTGTTCCTGTTGCCAGTACTGCCCTCCTGAGGGGTAGACTCCCCTCGGCCTATATATTTCAGCTCCTATATATTTCAGCTCCGGTGTCTCTTTCCGAGGGAAGCCGTCAGAGCAGGTGCTATCGTCCGCTCATGGAGCCTGGCTTCTTTCCACAAAGCACACCTCTGACCATCCGCTTAACACTGTGTTCCCACCTAGATGGTAAAGTCCACAAAAGTGGGAACCACCCCCATTTGTGCTCATCCAGTACCCACAGCCTGTAATCCAGGGCCTCACACGAAGTAGGCTCAATATATACTTGAGAAATGAATGAATGTGTAACATGAATAAGCACAGCCAATAGGTCAGCAACTTTACCAGGATAAACTGAGTTCTGATGAGTCAAACTCCCTCCTTTTCCTCTTGGAACGATCCCCCTGTATTTAACACCAAAAGCCAGCAGAGGGCAGAGCAGGAAGTTGCTAATACTGTGGGTGGAGTGGGAGTGGTCTTAGAAACACCAGTTTCCAGGTTGGCCAGATGTGTATGCAGCAGCCTCCCAGGACAGCTCCTAAGAGCAGACAGCCTGCTCCCCGCCCCCAGTGTCCTACCCTCCTGAGAGGAAGCCGTCTCAACATCCACCACACTTGGAGTTGCACAAGACCAGGCCCAAGAAGCAGTATGCACCTCCCAGAAGCCAAATTCCCTCTGTGGGGAAGGCCCCTGGAAGCCCGGCCTGGCCCAGCTTGGCATCTCAGTAGGGAATAGCAATCAGCTGATTTTAGACCTGGACCACACCATGGCTCTCCTTCAATTTTCAAAACCCTAAGACAGAATTTTCCTCATTTTATACTGGAGAAAACAGACCAGAAAGGGTAAGTGACCTGTCCTCATGCACAAGTGAGCAGGTTAACTGGTAGTGGCACAACCAGAAACTCTGTAATCTGACTTCAGTCCTGCACTCTCCCTAGAGGTACTACTTCTCCCGCAGTCTTTCTGAAGCCCTGGCACCATCCGGAACACAGCTGCTGAGAAGCACCTGCCAAAATGACTGCACATCAATGGCTTCTCGGGCATACAGTCCTGGATGCAGACTCCCATCCCATGTGCAGCCTCGTTCAGCCAGGTGCCAGGCTTGGCAGAGCTGCGGCTGTGATGCTGCAGGACAGCAGGCCAGGCTCCGCAGGACCCAGAACAGTAGCTGCCTTCCCTACAGGGCACCACCACCACCACCCTCGGGACGGTGCGCACAGAGGAAGTGGGGGAGGAGGCTGCCAGTGAAGGCGGAGCCAGGGCTAGCTCTGTGAGGAGCATCTGGGGCTGTGTCCCTGAGGCAGCTGTGCTGAGATACCCCTGGATCCCTTTTCTGAGGGCCTCTCAAGTAGAGTCCTGGCATACTAGGTATGGCCCAGGGTGCTGAACTGACATGCACACAGGGGAGTTACCTTGGAGGAGTTTCTCATCAGGGAGGCAACACAGCATGGTAGGAAGATCATCTGGAGCCTGAAAGCCCCGGGTTCTGAGTCTGGCCCAACTGTTCACTAGCAGCGTACCGCGAGCAAGTGGCTGAGCCCCTCAGGGCCTTGTCCTTATCGATCATGGGAAAATGAGTTACTGTGAGGATGAAATGGGAAGGTGAAGTGCCCAGCACTATGCTCAGCCACTGGCAAAGGCCCAAAGACAGCCTTTGGTAGTAGAAATGAATTGAGTTTCCTCAGAGGGCATGCGTGCACACGGAAGGGACTGAGCTTGTGCGGTGTGCCAAGTCACACACTGGGCACCAGGCCAATGAGACTCAATCACTGCCCGCCAAGGCACAGACAAGGGGGCCCAGGGAGCTAAAGGCTAAGTTCGAATAACAGAGAGAAGAACCTGCGACACAGTGGCGCAGGGAGATGGGCAGCTGTTAGGAGGAAAAAGGGCAGCCCCGAGGTAAGGCTACTACCAGTAGTCCTCTGTGGCTGGAAGCACTAGGCCATAAAGAAGCCACAGAAGGAGGGGAGCATCATGGTGGCTAAGGTCTTCCCAAGTGCAAAAGCCAGATGCCCACAATCCTCTTAGTTACTATTTGATGAGGTAGCTGCCTGGATTACCAGCACCAGCAGGGGGCAGTGGTGACTCAGTCTGAGTCCCTCGTTCAAGCTCAGAGAGACCTCTTAGCCTAACCAAAGCAGAAGAAAGGGTCCTGAAAGGGATGCAAGGAAGCCATCCTCTCCTTGGGATAAGCTGCAAAGATTCTCCCATGTGGGCTCTGCTGGGAACTGGAGAGTGGAAGGATGGCTCTAAGGAGTCTTGAGCCAGAGACAGAGGCCTGCACGTCAGAAACCAGGCAGACTAAGGACACAGGGAGATCAAGAAGAGAAGGAAACAAGTGTCTGTCCTGAAACCTCATTGGTTTGAGGCAGGATGTTGAGATGGCTTGCTCGCAGGAGGCAGGACACTGGTGATGGGTGGGCTGTCTACTCAGAAGCTGCCTCCTGCCCTCAGTGAAATACTTTGGAACAGAAACCTGGACTTTTGAACTCCCAGATCTGTCAAGTTTTAGCCTCCTAGCCCTAGCACCTGACTCAAGAGGCGACAACCTGAGCATACGCAGGAGCCCAAGGCTACAGGTCCCAGCTTCCCTCTGCCTGGCTCACTCAGCTGTCTGCCTGGGCTGGAAGCCATATTCAGCCTGGGCATACCCTGACAGGAACAGCCCTCACCCACCTGGGTAGGCAGGAAGTCACTGAGGGACTCCCCAAAGCAGTGCTGGGACATGAAGCCACAGTGCAGGGTCTCCTGACTATCCTGGGCTGGCTGTCCCTGGGGCAGCAGACAAGGTGTACCTTGGTAGCTGGTGCTGCCACTGCTGCTGAGGTAGGACTCCACCAGGGGGGCTTGTTCCTCCGACTGCCGGGCCCGCCGGCTCCGGGGTCGCCCGTCTGCGTTGGCCTGCACCATCAGGGGCTCCTGGCGCTTCTTCTTCTGCTTCTGCTCCAGCAGGGCCCTCTGCAGAGGCACAGGGCAGGCACAGAGGGTGGCAGACCCACCGCCTCTACCAGGAGGGAGGGATTCCCCAACTGGGACCAGAGATAGCATCCCGCTTGCTTGGCTGGAAGTTGCACTGGGGTTTACAGCCCAGCCTGAGCCAAGGCCCATGTCCTTGGTGCTCCGAGACTTGGAATCCAAGAAAGAGGTAAATCCCAGCTGGCTGCGTTGGCAGGATCACAGCACAGACATCCAGCTCTCCAACTGCAGTCACCCCAGCTTGCCTGCCTAGCAGATGCCCCATGTACTGGGGTTAATGCTGAGCTGGTAAAGGAAAGCACATACTTCTCTTCTTCCAGGTGAGAACCCTCTCCCTATCAGACAGGATCACCTAGGGAATATAAACAGCCCTGCCCCTCTGCCCTGTCACCTGGCCCTGGCCCACTCACCTGCCGATCAAGCTTCTGCTGCCTCAGGTTGCTGCCCTCATCATCTAAGACACTGCAGAGAGAAAGAGGGGTTCTCAGGGTCTGCCCATTAGGTGCCACAGTATATCCCAGAGCCCACCCCCAGCACAACTGGGTCCCTTAAACCCCTCCCATCATGGCTCTTGGGATTCAGTGAGCCCACTTGGTGGAGGCTGCCATCTTAGAACCAATTTGAGGCAAAAAGGCTTGAGCTGCCACTTTGGGAGCTTATCTCCTGCTAGGAATGCTGATGCCCCAAGGAATCCCCAGCCAGCCTGGCCCCGGTAAGCACAGGATGAGACCCTCCCCTCAGACCTCTGAGCAGGGCCAGGCTTGACTGAGATCTAAAAGAACCCATCAAGAAGCATCAGCCACAAGCCAGGCCCAAGAAAGGGCTTCAAACCCAGGGGTCTGCTCCCTCCAGTTCCTTATGGGGATCTCACCAACTTTTCCCTTCCTTCTCTCTATCCCTTCTGGAGGAGACTGAGTCCTCTGGGGCAGACTCTTTCCCTATCCATTCAAAGCAAACTCCTGGCCTTCCAGGTGGGCAGAGTGGAGGTGCGGACACTGTCCACTCCCCTTCCCCACTTAAGGAGGGCCAAGCGTCCTCCTACGCATTTGGGAGAATAACTCTAAGAGACCAGGGCAGGGCTTGGACTGTGTGGAGATGTCTGCAGGGTGAACACAACACATCAGTCAATGCACCGTCCAGCAACCAGCCACCAGGCCCTTCCCTAGCCACAGACATGGCACAGGCAGCCCTGGGGACATCCAATCCTTGAGCCCTACACGTTTTGGGACAGGCAGCCTCATCTCACCTAATTGACCCCACTTCCCAGGAAGGCAGAGCACAAGCAGGGAGCTGGTAACTTAAACCATAGCTGTCTTGCTAGCCCAAGGCACATGCATGAGACCTAGGCCCCAATTCTGTAAATTCAAAGTCAGGATAGCTGCATGGGTGAAGTTGGAGCCTGAGGATCTGAGCTCTGGGAAGCCCCAGGCAACCTTGGCCCAGTTGTTCTGGAGTCAGCCTCTGAACCAGACCTGTGTGCGGGTACTTGCACAGGCATGCCTAAGTGCATTTGATATGTGTGAGACTGTGTGCAAGTCGACTGCCTGCGTGTGCACACATGCATGCAGCCACCCATGGAGAAGTGGACATGCATGTGTGAGGGTGAGTACAGCATGCGTGTAAGCAGGAAAGATGCGGTCAAGTCACCCTGAGGACAGGTGAAGCCATTTCCACCCTCCTCCTGATAGTCAACCCTTTCCAGCTGGAACAACCATGACCTACTTCTGTCTCCAAGGGAGCTGGTCAGAGGGTAGAAGGAAGTGTCCATTTCACAGACCACCCATCTCTGGCTTCACTCACCCACCTCCCTGGCCATAGCCTAACAGGACTGTGCTTATTTTAACTGGCAACAGCCCTACATACTAGATATCTGGGAAGGCCTTTCTTGATACCCATGGGTTGCTCTGCATGGCAGAGGAGACCCCACTGTGATCTAGGGCTGTGCACAAAACATCCTATCCACCAAATCCTTAGCTGCCAGAGCACAGGAGAAAACAGTGCTCAAGAGACATGTTTCTGGGCCTCGATCTTCATAAAATTGAGAGCACGTAAGGGGAAAGATGCAGTCAAATGACACAGAACAGGTGAAGGCGTTCCACCCTCTTCCCGACAGCCAGCCCTTTCCAGCTAGAACAACCACTGACCTATATGTCCCTTAAACAGCTCACCTGCCTGAGAGGGCAGAGCTGCATTAAAGGCTCTCTGAGGGAATCGCCAGAACCCTACAATTCCAAGGTGGCTGGGACAGTTAGCCTCCCACTGTGGAAGGCACACACCTAGGCTGGAGGACCGCAGCAAGGACTTCTGAAGAAAGGGGCTCAGGGACCACAATGAGCAAAACGCCTGAGGGCCCTGCCAAGCCTGAAAGGGCTACAACTCTCCAGTGTCTCTGCAGCTCAGGTCAATAGCCTGACTGAATAACCAAGGTCACTGCATCTGCTCACAGACTGACTTCAAAGGGTCAGACTCAAACAGCGCTGTCCACCAGGGTCAGCTGCACAAGCAGGGCACACTCACTCCTTCTAGGATGTGTATGAAGAACGCAGGCTCTGGACAAGGGTACCCATTGCCGGGAGCAACGGAATCTGTGCTTTGCCTGCCAAGCTCTGTGCCTGGGACTGAGCAGCCTGTAAACCTCAGTCATGTGCCGGTGGCCTGGCCACAGAAGCCCCTAGGCAACCTCCACAAAACAGTGCTGGCTTCTCCTTGTGTCTGCGGGAGAAGTTGTTCCACAGCTTTCAAGGCACTCACACTATCAGAGGGCAGTGCCAGGGCAGGGGCAGTCATCTGGGCCATCCCCAGCACTGGGTTTGGCTGAGCAAGACAAAGAAGGTGCCTCCCATGGTGCTGATGTTATTTAGAGTCATTTAGAAAAGGGGACATCCAGCTGAGAGGTAAGGCCCACTTCAGTAATGCCACCTCTGGAAATGTTGGGTCACAGTGGCTATTCAGTTGACAAAAAGGTGTTTCCAGCCATGGTGGTTTCACTGCCCAGTGCCCCTGAATGCCCTTAGCCATGCAGGGAGGACGTTTCCCTACCACAGGCCACTATCCCACTGCCACCGACTTTCCACAGTTATGCCAGGACACGAGGCTGCTTTTCCTCTGTCCTCACCTCCATTTCCTGAGGGGGGATAATGATAAAAAGCCAAAGGCTTGAGTAGCACAGATTACCGGGTGAGATTACAGGTGGAAAGGCAGAAAAAGTCAGAGAAAGATGGATGAATACCAGGGCTGGGCTTCTGAAGAAATTCCAGAAACTTCAGATATCTCGGAAGTACCCAGAGTCAACTGCCACCTCACTCGCCACCAGGCATGTTTGTGTACACAGAAGGAAAGGGGATGGCAGCTGGGGAGAAGCAACCTGCACACGTCCTGGATGCGAAATGTGCCTGGCTGAGCAGGACCTGCCAGAAGGGCCTACCACAAAAGCACCAAAACAAGGAGGCTCCGAGGGTGGCACAACACACACAGGGAGCCAGCCTCCTGAGAAAGCAGCATTTCTAGGAGAGCTCAAGGGTACAAGGTGGACTATAATCCTAACAGCGATGCATGTGTACCAGGTGGGTGTTCCTGCGAGGGACAATAGACCCAAGCATGCAACAGCTCTCCATGGTGAATAACAAGGAATCCCCGCACACAGTGGCTGTTGTGGAGAACAAGGACAACAGTGCAGGCTGTCTCCAGGGAGAGCAGAACCAAAGCTCCCTTCACATCCTCAGCAGGCCCAGCTCCCCGCTCCGCCCCCATCCAGAGGGCCCTGCCTCCTCATCTCTACCCTAGCACCATTCCTAGGGCATCTTCCTTTCTCACCAACACCTCCCCAGCCTGCCTCTTTCTGATGGGCACTGTTCTAGGCTACACTAAACAATAACCACACAAGGAGACGGGAACGGCTTTTTAATGACTCCAGCTCCAATTCTGGAATCACTGCCAAGCCCAGGCTGCCAGCTGCAGCCCCGCCAGGAGACATGGCGCTGATAGATGAGTCTTCTAGCTAATCCTGGCGGTTTCTTCATCATGGGCACCTCCTGCTGGGGGCCACACCAGGAGGCTCAGAAAAGCACCAGCCACTGACTCACAAGGGTTAGAGAAACCCAGTCTGCAGTGTCCACCAATCCATCTACTCTGCCCAGAGCCAATGGGGTGGCTTCACCTGCTGGGGAGCCAGGCCCTCTATATCTACTCACTGTCCCCTGGCAGATGTCTGGGAATTGAACCACAATTAACAGCAAGGGGGCAGGGGCACAAGGGCACTTCTCCTGTGGGTTGGAAAAGCATACATGGCCAACATATTTAGAAAGCTTGCCCCCTCCCCACTTCCTTCTCAGACTCCACATTACATACTCCAGCTACTCCACCAGTGCTAACCAGAAGCCCGATGGGTCAGGAGAACCTAAGCACAGACCCAACACTTTCCATGCCCACTTCACCCTCCCCTCCTACTCTCATTCTTTCCCCTCAGTCCCAGTGGAAGCTGCCCCTGCTGGACCCAGGAAATCAGAAAAGTAGGCTGTCAGAGGAGGAAAGGCCACCCAGGTGTCTGGCTGTGACCCTGTGCCCAATGCTAGACCCAGGCAAGTCCAGATCTGTGATTTCTGTTGCCTAGCAGCTTACTGGAACACGGAGGGAACGGGGGCAGCTCCAGGAGGGACAGAACCACATGCTCACAGAAGTCCCAGCCTCCCAGGATAGGCTATCTCCATTCCAGCCAGTGGTTCCCAAACTCACCAGATGCATTAAAAGCACTAAGTGCCCTAGGCCCTGACTCGGTAATTCCGAACCGCCAGTGAACATGCCCAGAATCAACCCCCACCTTGCACTCTTCTTTAAAGCAAGTGCCATAGGTGATTCTAATGCTTAATCAGGCAAAAGGGGCCATGAGCCACAGCTGGTGATCTCTGAAATCAGAGAAAGAAATCAGAGAGCTGGTATAAAGCTGTTGCCAGAGGTGAAGTGGTGGGCCTGAGTGTCCAGGCAACCTCTGGGGCTAAATCTAGCAGAAGAACTGAAAGAGTCAGGAGTCTTGCTTAATCAGTAGTCATCTGCTCCTCAGAAAGCTAAGTGAGGAAGTGGCAGGAGGGTCCACAAGGGTCCAGAGGAAGGAGAACCCAGAGGCACCATCAGGCTCAACACAAGGAAGAACTCCCTACAAGTCATAGTCATCTGATGGAAGGCCGACTGGCAGTGATGCCACAGAAAGAGTTCAGAGAACCAATTCAGGGCCTCTTCAGCCTGAGAGTCTCTTTCTGTGACCTACAGTGTGCCTTCCAGGAAGCCCCATGATGATAGGAGACCTCGGGTGTGCCTTGAACCCAGGTGTGGGGCCAGGAAAGCCCAAGAAGCCCTAAAGGCTACCTGAAGATGCCACTTTGATTCAGAGGTAGATATTTTGTCCATGCTGGGTCATGCCAAAAACACAGCCAGGAACTAAGTAAGGTCCCTGCTCTCAAGAAGTTCAT